TTACAACAGATGAGAGTGCAATAGGAAGGAGTAGGATAAATTGTCTAAGAGTTAATGGTCAAAACTGCGCTGAACCTTACTGTTAGACAAAACCAGCAAAACGATAGGGTTACTCAATTTCTCCCAATGTAGGCCCTCAAAGAATTATATACTCAAGTTTAATAAATTTTATGCTTTAATTTTGTTATTTAATTTGATGTTTTGATACATTTGATAATTTTTGGTCATAATTAAGGAGTGTTTTGCTATCATGTTGAATTTCTCAGGCTCCTTACCACTAACTCACCTTTTACCTGTCAATTGTCACTTATATGGAATTTGTCAGTAATCAGCAATTATGTGCAGAATTTGTTATTGTACCTGTAGCAGTTTTGTAAGTGGAATTGTTGCTTCTCATCAAATTTGTATTTCCCTCAATTCAGGAGTGTCAGGACTTTCCCGTGATTTACTGTAATACAGTAACCGTTAGTTATTAACCCTAACAGTCCGGAATGCTACAAAGTACTACTTAGTAGTAAAATGTAGTACCCAGCCCTGTCGCTTGTAAGAGGACATGACATTATCATTCTCTGAAGCCATAAAATACAATCGAGAAGACAATGTACCATACAGTGCTGTGGCACTATGAATGCATGGTTTTATTGTTCTCTGTACGAGTAACAATGGAATAAACCTAGCCAGAAGTAGTAATCTGTAGCGCTAGGTCCTTTAGGCTCAGAGTGTTACGTAGTATTTTGTAGTACTGAGTACTCTAAGCCAAACAACGCCCGGCACTCTTAGGGTTAATGCCTGTCAGGCCTGTGCTGGGTTCCCGGTATTGACCATAAAAAATGGGACCCGGTTCCACAAATATCCGTAAACGCACAACGCTAATGTCTGTATTTGATGCGAGGGGCCTGGTTTGTTGCTCATTTATAAGCCAGGCCTGTATGTATATATGTGTGTGTTTTTATGTAGCGTTGTGGGATTTTCAAATGAGGAATGGGTGGTTTAATCATGTTTTAACTGCTACTCAGCACAACTGAAGAGGGCAACCGTACAGCCATGAGGCATGCACAAAATTTGTGTCCCAAGGCCGTTGCTATTCACGCCCATTCACCTCAACTAATAGCTTAACACAGTCGCCAAACAACTGTTTCCTTTCTGCATTCAAAGTCCGTTCTTGTGAAAACACTTCATCACTGGGGTTTTCGTATTCCCAGCTCCAACCTCTACCCCCCTTGGAATGCAACCTTGGAAGTGAATGGCCAGCTGGCTAGGCAAACAAACCAATCAAGAGTGTTGGTTTTTTTATGAATGGAGCCTGTCTCCTTATGTGGACAAATGGGGCGGCGCTCCCCTTGCTCCCTGTTCACACACAAGCACTGCGCGGATGAGAAACTGTGCACAGTGCCAAATGCACTCATTGATTTTTTTTTTTTTTTTTTTAAACAAGAAACTGCACCGTTTGCAAAAACAAATTGTATTGATTTGGTTGTACATGCAACAGGTGTTGAGTGTGGGTAAACAGCTGTTACCAGGTCTGCTTCAAAATCTGGGCATCTTTTCCAGTTCTTGTGTAATTTGTTTTAGAAAAAAACAGACAAATACTGCTGCTGACATGGCTGACAAGAACAGTTCATTTGGAATCATTTCCGTTCCATTTTGTGATTTGTTGTAAACCCATGCTGGATTTTCGCTTTTTTTTTTGTTGTTGAAAACTTCCTTGAATCCTACCAAATCCTCCTCTTGTAGTAACAGCCCTGTCTACATTTCTCAATCCTGAAACAAGTTCAAAACTGTCAGCTACTTTTGAAGAATTTGTGAGACTTGTGGGTGTTAGTATTAATAATTTGCTCAAAATGGGTCACTTGAATTTGTGAATTCAAGACCAAAGACCTACTTCACAGGTTGTTCCTACTGAAGATCCTCTGCATCAGCTAAACTAACAACAGAATAATGAAAATAATTTAAAAGTAATATTACAAGTCATCCAAACTCAGTTGTTACTTTATTCAGATGACATCATCAAACAGAATCGCAAAGAGAATCGTAAGCTGGCCGTTCAGAAGAAGAAAGCGGCCGCCGGCCTGAAGAACCGTCCCTCCGGACCTGCTGGCCAGAGACAAGCCAAAAAGCCCGGGCTGGCCAAAACTGGTCTTGGGGTCAGAGGCCGCGCAAGTCAGCTGAAGCAGTTCCGGGCCAGGATAGGTGGGAAGAAGACTGTGGGGAAGGGCGTGGCGCTGACGAAGAAGAAAGGGGCGGCCAAGGTTCAACAGCAGGGCGGGGTCGTCGCAAACAGAGGGCCAGCTCGAAAGGTATGTGAAAAGCGAGTGTTTATGCACAGGATTAGTTCAGTAATGGCCTCAGCCTACACTTTGGTCCCTTAAGCTGTGGCTCCCAACAGTGCACAACGGTTCTCATTGCCGCATCAGATGTTTGTTTGCATGTATCGGTCTGGGCTAGTGCCTAGTTTGTCCCCACAAGACTTGTTGTAGATAGAAAGTGGCCACGAGCCTCTGTGCGTTTGGACAGTCCCAAACAAGGCCTCAATCCTTTAGATGGCCCAGGTTTGGTTTAGAAATACAAGGTGTTGTTCATTAACTGTTCAGGGTTGTTTTTGGATCAGTTTCACAGAAAGTTGGCGAACACAGTGCCAAGCGACATTAAGTTAACGTAGCAAGTAGCGTTCCTTTTTCTGTGAAATCTGAAAGGCTTACGAGTTGACATTTTGACATTTGCACGCACAGCACTTGCTGTCAACATTTGGTAGGATGTTTTTAAGAGGCATGGCCAACTCACACGTAGCCAAAATCTGTCTGTCAGGTCGGCAAGCAGCGAGTGCCTGTTAAGAGAATTGGCGGTGCCCAGGTGGTGAATCGCTACAGGAGACAACAGCAACAACAGCAGCAGCAGGTACAGCAGCGCTTGCAGCAGAGCAAAGCCGCCCGACAGCAGCGGTTCAACCAACAGCGAGGAATACAGGTTGGTGGAATATACATTTAGGGGGTTTATTCATTTTAAAAAAAAAGTGAACATGGCTATTTTTTGTCTCTTCTTGTGAAATGTTCTAAACAGCCCCTGATAGAAGCAGTGTGAGATTGACATTTTTCACACGGTAACATTCAGTGATGTTTCATTGGAATGCTTGTTAATGTCTTGCATCACTTGCAGACGATACCACAAGGGGGCGGCAGGAAAAAGGTCCAGTTGAACCGCCAGAACTTTGTCAGCGCACAGACAAACAGTCGACAAATCAACAGGCAGCAGACGAACACACTACAGCAACAGCAGCCGCAGTTCAGCCAGCGGCAGAGACAGAAGAACAAGAGGCAAGTACCCTGAGGTTGCTGAGCACTAGAAATCTTTGCTCGGCAATTAAAAAAAAATCAGGTTACCAGCCAAAATGCTGTGTGATGTGAACAGGTGTTGCTGGTATTCAGCTAATTCTCGTCTTAAATTTGCTGAACTTTTTTTCCGCTTCCAGCAGCTCTGCTAAGTTAGTTAATTTCAGAGAGTCATGGATGTGCTTCAATTCAAATCTAACAACTGATATACTTGTGTCCTCAAGCAAGCTACTTTACAACAATTGCTACTTTGTACCAGATTTTACATATTTTTTCTTAACTCCAAAAACTGTGAAAACTGAATGCCCACCGGACTGGGATGGGAAGAACTTAGGATTATTTACTAGCCAACCAACCAGACTACCACCTCTACCAACAAGACTGGCCCCTCAACTCCCCCCCTCCCTGATATACAAACCCCTGGTCACAATCTTCTCATAAAACGTCCTTTATTTCATTTCTGTATTGACAGATTACTTCAGAACCAGCCAGCCCAGAGGGCCAACCTGGCCAGGCCGCAACGCCCGAAAGCCCAGAGGGCGAAGCAGCTGAGGGCCAACGCCCAGAAAGTCAATCCTAAGCTCCTTACAGTCTCCATCAGCAATCCAAAGGCCATGCAGTGAGTTCCGTCAAAAGTTTTCATTTGTAACCACAAGAGCTTCTTAGTTTTAATTGTGACAATTTTTCTGATGGAAAATGAGCGAAAACAAACTGAACTGAACTGAGCACTGATCTCCGAACTGAACAGTATTCACCAACTTCGAGTCAGTGTCTCTACTGACTATGTACATCAGTCCACCCTCACCAAACAGAAGGGCTGGGCTGACTAACTGGCTCTTGGCTCGCTAGTTACCAGGAGTTACAGTGACCGTGGAGAGAGTGGAGACCAGTCTACCAGCCTCCCTGGTATACGAACATTAAATAAACAAGGATGAGCACATGTAAACCAATGAAGTGCAAATGGCCCCCAGAAAAGTGGTTGCTAGGTAGCAAAGCGCCCTCTCTTGTTTCGGCCCATAGTCTCAGTAGACTTGTTGATAGAGATGACAGTAGTCTGCCATTCAAAAATCTCAAATCAGTTCAGGCATGCTCAGTGGCCAAGATCTCTCTCTTTGCCAGCAAGAAATTTATTTGGCTACCATTAGGGAAAACAGCACAACGGTTAAATGTTATTTTTCTGGCTTGTTTCCAGAAACTACAAGCCAGTGAAGATTAACAGGAATAAACCCAAAATGCAGGTGAGTTCCCCCTCCAAAAAAAAAAACCCTAACCTAATCGTTAATAGACTAATCTTGGGATACACGAGTTGAGCATGTACGTTGTACGCCTCTTTGACCATAAGGGTGTTATGACCTGCAGAAATGACCACACACTGGAGCTTTCTGAGGATGTGAGTGTGATACCACTGCATTCATTAAATGACCTTTCCTCACTGAAGTCTACCCACTAGTTGCTTGTCGTGTCGATGACGGCCAAGGGCAAAGTTACAACCCACATAGGATTCATGACCCAAATAGGATTCATAACCCACATAGGATTCGAAACCCACATAGGATTCATGACCCAAATAGGATTCATAACCCACATAGGATTCGTAACCCACATCATGATTCATAACTCTCATCAGAGTCTCTTGACTCCCGTCCTTTTCCTGATTTTTATTTCTCTTAATTGGAACAGTTTCAGAATGGAATTTGTTTGTTATGCAGATAAGCGGCGGCACACTCAATGATCGGTTCGGCCAGTTACAGCAACAGCAGCAACCCAAGAACGCGCCCAACACTAACCGGCAGAGGAGACGGCGGAAACAGCAGGGGCAGGGGCAGGGCCAGAACACCGGTGGGCGGACAGTACTTCTAGTCTGAAGTGGGAATTTCTCATTCTTAACGGGAAAAAAAATGTTAATCGTCACAATGCTGCTTTGTAAAATTTGTAGAGTGGATGGGGTTGCAGGTGTTGCATCTTCATTGGTTGATTTCCGGGTGTCGTGTTTCTCCTTTCCCGAGAAGCCACCTCAGTCGGTCACCGCTAGAGGTAATGTCTGGGTTGAGCCAAATGCCACATGTGAAATAACCACAGTTTTGGACCTGCGACGTAAGAGAAATATTGTTTTTACAGAACGCTTTTATTTCGCAGTGTCGGTTTTTATAGGGGTGCCCGGTTTCTCTTCAAGAAGATTCAGAGGTTAAAAGGCCACCAGTGGTAAACCTATTTTCTGGCGAAACCTTTTAGTTGAGAAATGCCAGTACTTGTCTGTCACCAATTCTTCGATTTTTTTTCTAACCATTCGGCTATCCAGTTACACTGCACAGTTACCTCTTGGGATTCAATCACGAAAACTGACAAAAAGTTTGACTTTCCTGATTTTTTTTTTTTCATTTGTTAATTCAAGGTTGCTGTTTATTTTTCTTTTCTGAATTTCAATTTATCACCGTAAAATCATAAATTTGAATGAACTATGAATAAATTGGTTGTGTATTGAAGTCATATACCCAGTTGTGTTTGTAAGTACTTAAAGGATTTTACAGAAAATACCAATTTATGACCCTTTAACAGGCACCACAGTGTCTTTAACCCTAACCATGCTGAACCCAACAAGGTTATGCAGGATTTCAGTGGTCCCAAGGGGGTTAACCATGCTGAACCCAACAAGGTTATGCAGGATTTCAGTGGTCCCAAGGGGGTTAACCAT